GAAATTGAAGAGAGGGCAGGACAATGTTGGCAATGGTCTCCTCTGTCCTGACCTGACCAGCTTTTTGTATCCCTTCCCTTATTCTGTCGGTAGCGCACCCGCCAAGAAGAAGCCATCTTTCTCCAATACGCCTTTGCAACCCGACCTGACGACCCGCCTGCCCCAGTCTCCAGCAACAGCACCTTACCCGCGCATGGCGGCCCACGGGACCCGGACCGCGTGTGCCTCTACGACGACCAGGACCTGCTTGACGCGTTACTAGGAACAGTACCACCAGCTGGTCTCGGGACGGGAGGAAACACGTAAGAGATTGTATGGAGAAATAGAAGGCAATGCATTTCTATTTTTTTGCTAATTTGGGCGATGTTTTTCTCTTGTAGATTGCCGCCTGATTTCAGCGCGTTTTGGAGTTCGATCCCCATCGACCTCGCTGCTCCGCCTGTCCTCCTTGAGGAACTCGCGTACAAGTATGCAGAGCTGCACCCGCGGTATGAGCAAATTGGAATGGACGATGTTGGATTTAGCAGCGAGTCTGGTGAGTGTAGAACCACACACGCACAAACACCCGCACTTGCAAAAAACCGGGTCTCACTTTCCCACCTCATGTGCTTTCTCGTTTCTGAAACAGCGATCCAAGCCGCCCACTTTCTCCACACGCGCATCACGGCCGGCGAAGCGATTCTCTCCCGACGATGTTTCTCGCGCGCAAGCATGTATGCGCGACAAGGTGTTCCTACCTGTCTGCGGGCACGGCTCTGGGACTTGCTACTGCAATCCGAACTCATTGATGACCCCGCAACCTACGTGAGCAAAAAATATCCATGTTCATCTTTACACGCCACGGGGGGTTGCAGAAAGAACTCATGTATTGACTGCCCCTCCTTGCGTTTGTGTTTTTTCTCTAGACCCAAAAATACTGCAAACCGCTGAAAGCCGCGCTCGCCCAACACGAGCTTCTCGTTGACCACCTCGTGCAAGCCGACGCGCGCCAGTGCCGGAACGACGACGCGTTCTTTGTGTTTGAGGATGTGTTGAAGGAAATGATGTTGTTTTGGATCCGGGATGAGTGGATCGATGCGCGGTTATGTCCCGCTGCACCAGCCGCTCAAGCTACGCATTCACCACCACAACCATCGCCGCCGAAATCAGCGTCAATAGCAGGCGCGACACTGCCGCCGGTGGGCAGAGCCGTAGCCGAGGGTACGGCTGACAATAACAGTAATGGCAACAATAACGGCGTAGGTAATGGTAAAGCGGGAAGTACTACGACAACGCTACCAACAACCGCACCGGCAACGCCCCGAGTGATTGTGAAAAAGTATCCGCCGAACGGCGTTCTGCCGTTCTGGGGCGTGTCATGCTATGCGATGCCCGTATGTTTCCTCCACGCGGACGCCGAGAGCGCCTACATGACGTTTCGGGAGCTCTACGTTTGGTACGTCCATCTAACGTATCACCGCGTCCACCTTTTGTTTTAAACCAGTCGTATTTCTTTTTTATATATATTATAGCTGCTTCACTCACTTACACACCCTCCAGCCATCCCGCACAACCCCCACTCTCCCGCACCTCCTCGCGCACTTTGAATCGCTCATCAAACAATACTCGGCGCCGCTTTTCCACCACGTTGCGCGGGTCGCCCACGCTCCACCGGCGCGACTCGCTGCTCGGTGGATCGTGTTTGCGTTTGTCGGCGTGTTGGACGTGGCGCAGGTGTTACTCCTCTGGGACCGCGTGCTGGGTTATGGACCGGATGGAGATGGGCTGGCGCTGTTTGCGGTTGCGGCCGCTGCATTGTTTGCGTTTAGGGAGGATGTTCTGTGGGCGGCTCGGTCGACGAGGGATGTCGAGGTACGTGTTGGTGCTCGCAAACCGACCGGGGCGAGCATTTCCTTATGCACGATCGATGGTTTCAGGCTGCTTTTGCCGATCTCGGCGGTATCGAAATCGTGCCTCTCCTGCAAAACTTTATCTTCCCTCTTGTGTGCGATGATGACGATGCGTAGATACACTCACAGAATCACTGGACCACACATATATAATTATGACACCCAAATGAATCAGAATAGTTTCTACACATTGTCGCTATTGATACCAAACAAATTTGTAAACATTACAAGGGGGTTTGAGGGAATGAGCACGCACTCGCGATTTCCAATCCTTCCTCATAACCATAAAAACAAAGAAGAAAAAGAATGAAAGGAAAGGAAGAAACAGAATGGAGGAGAAAAAGTTCCCTCAAATCGAGGCGACAAAATTAGACCCCTTGGCTTCCGGTTTTGTGCCATCTAAGGATAATAATACACGTTGTTGTCGCAGAACCATCTAGCAGATGATGCAGCCCTTGTCGCTGCGCGAGCGACGCTTGTAGGACTCGACGTATTTGAGCTGACGCGCATTGATGGCGCCGCGGCGTCGCTCACGGACATAAATAACTGCGTCCAGCGGCGCAAGACCGGCTTCGATGAGTGCCATTGTGACTAGCACTGGAGCTCTATCAGAGTAAAGAAGAGATAAAGGTGAGCGTCGAGTTGCATCAGGCTCCAGATGCCAAAGAGAGTACGTGACTGTTTTTGAAAATCACCTTCCAAGTCCCGCAACACAGTGAACGCCAATGGTCGACTTTTGCTCGACAACCTGCTCGGTCGAGGCAGACTTGGCGGTCTTTGGTTTTCCAAACCTCGCATTGACCAGGTTGAGGAACTCGGCCACAACGTGGTTCGGCGGCGGGTCACCATCAGGGAATGGCCAGTCCTATTCGATGAAAACGAGGAAGATGGGACCGAAAGATGTCAGACGTGCTTCCACAACAATCATGGAGGTTACATTGACAAACATACGTGGACGGTCATGCCCTTCTTGGCAAGTGTCTCCTTGTCGTAAGTAGGGTCGCACACTCGCACCACATCCGTGACATTATATTTGTCGAGTTCCTGTATCGGAGGAAACATGGAGAACAAGAAAGGATGTCAGCATGTGAAAATCTCAATCAGGATTCTGATTGCAGTTCCTTACGTTCAAGTACAAGTCCAGCGTCCTATCCGAAGGCGCATCGAAGATGAGGAAGCGGAGGTTCTTGTACTCGACGAAAGCGGGTGGATTGGGCATTCGCTGGACTGCTCCGTCCTTGGCCGCGGAGCCTTGCCTCTGAGGGCGAACTCCTGCCTGCACTTGGAGTTTTGCTGCCATTTCTGTGCTTTTGAATTTAGGGGTCGATTGACCGGAAATGAGCGGCTAATGTGTCGGATTGTTGCTCCGTCTGAGGGAGCTTTGTTTGGTGTAGTAGGTAGAGTCGGAGGGCAGCCAGAAATGATGAACTCGTTGATCCGCGAAGAGGGAAAAACGGAAACGGAGCGAGGCGGTCCGAGTTGCTGGGGGAAGGGATGAGCGATATCTATCCCATCAAGTGTGAACAGACGGTCTCTTTCCGAGGACCGAGTGAGTGGTGGTTGGAGGGTATGGTGTTTAAAAAATCGCCGAGCGGAGTTCGACGACAAGAGTGAGGAGACGGAGGTGCAGCAGGCAGGGACCGGCGGGCGAGCAGCTTCACCGACTCTGGGGAATGTGGAGATGATTTTGAAGTTTGCTTTTTTTTTTGTGGGTAGAGATGCCGGAGTGTGTAATGTCCGAGGTGTCTCTGCGGGTCGAGGATTTCTCTACTTTGTCCGGTCAGCCTGGGTCCAACATGCAGACGTCGAACGTCGGGAGGACAAGGAGGAAGGAATAACCAGCCAGGGTCGTAAGATAAGGCGCCAAAGTGGACAACCTTATGCAGCGAAAGATTGTGTGGCTGGAAGTGCAAAGACGGCGATGGAACGCTGGGCGACCAAAACCGAAGAGGAGTTTCTGGCTAAAAGCGGGTTCAACAAAAGTGCGACAGACGACACAACCAAGGTATGAGAGATGCGAAGCGGAAGGTAACCCGGATGTATCTTTTGAGGGGTTTTATATGAGCGTCGAGGTGGGGGGGTTTTTAGTTTGAGAAAGGACGGGAAGAAGGAAGGCGGAAGAAGAGAGCGGCGGGCGAACGACAAAAAACCCCCTTCAGTCAGTCATTCTAAGCAGGCGGGCGGCGCGACTTTTGTGTGAAAAAACAAACCATCGATTGATCACTCATTATTGTTCCATGAGGGACAAGTCACTGGAACACCCTCATCGTACTCACAGAAACAAAATGAAAAACAAAAATTCGACCTTCTTCCGACATTCAGAAGGCTATCCTACACTCGCCTATCTCCACGTCACGGCAAAACGGGCAAAAGAGGCAAAAGAGGCAGCACGCAAAGTGGGACATGGTTTGGGCGCGGAGGTCGTCCGGAGAATTGTTTGTCTGAAGGCATGCGAGCAACAGGCGGAGAGGTTCAGACAACACTTGCGGTCGAGTTGACGGAACAGACTCTCGCACCCCACTAAAAAATCGTTTGCGGTAACCTCCAGCAGAGGTGCTACAAGGAAACACCTCTTTATTCTTGGCCGAACTGTTTTCTGCACCACCACACTGCCCTGTGCACAAACGTTTCAGATAGTCCGCTTTATCTTAAGCCAAACGTTAACGAATCATCGCATACGGCAGAAACTACTGACTCCAAGGGGGATTGTACAGTGATATAAACTCGGACCGTGTTCGGCAAAGCGCTGCAGCACGAAATAGCATTCAGCGCCCGGACTCGACGGGCAATGTGCGACATCGTCCACTGGGGAGTCCCGTACAGAGAAGGACGCTGCTGAATGACAGTTTCTTGTGCCCGGGGTCTGAAAGGGGAGAAATGGCTGAGCCAACACGAGGTGCAACAATCACCCAGTGGCCAGAGGATACAATGCATGTGGGACGTCGCATGGATATCCTAATGCTTTCCCGTGGCCTGTCTCAGTGAGTTAGCAGTCGATCACATCCAATAACTCAATGTCATGTCAGAAACATTGCAAGTCGAAGGCATTAAATCGGACAATATCGATAAGAACCTCTCCGGGGCTTTCCGAAAAATACAAAAAAAATCGAGTGCTCCGGGCGGGGTTTGAACCCGCGATCATTGCATAACTTGTATATAAGGATCTCTCATATAAGAACAATGCCTTAACCACTAGGCCACCGGAGGATCTGTAAGCTCGAAAGACCCACCCGCAACTTGTAATCTCTACCTTTCCAACCAAATATTTCGCCATTCGATCGGATATATTGCCAGACTTTTCTGAATCTGGTAATTAACAGGTGCCAAATATTGGAATATTAAGGACTTCGCTATCAACGCTCGTCTTCACAACCTTGACCTGATTTACGATCGCATGTGAAGAAACGCGTGATGAAGCCACCAAGTGAAGAATCGTGCAACATACCTCGTTCGATGCTTGAAAAACTCATTACTGTCCTCTGCAACACCCTAGACAACTTCTCTACCTACGAAGGAAACGTTTACAGACAGTCTGGTTGTATTATGGCCATTCCACTGGGAAGTACATTTGGCACGTACCCGCCTAATTCTCCAACATTGAAAACCAACACAGGAGAGCTGATTGTTGTTTGGAAAAACAAATATTTCATTATAACAATTTATTTGATGAGTTGCATTAACGGCAATTAATAGATTGAACATGTCTTTTACAATTCATCTGATTGATAAAATCTAGTTGATAGTCTAAAGAGTTGTCCCGTGGGTCGAGGTGCGATGGGTTGTTCCGTGGTTGCTTACCAAGTTAAATTTTCGACTTGCTTTGGATCGACAACGTTATGCATGACATTGCGCTCTCATCCATTTGTGATTCGACGACAAGGCAACGGTGTGCAAAGACAAAAAGATGGCACTGCGTAAGGCAAATGGCCACAATAGATGTATATGTAATTATATGCAGAGTCCGTATGTATAGAGTAATGTCCGTTCAAAAACAGCTGGGAGAGGGTAATGGGCAGTTGCCACGCGTCCTAGAACAAACTCGGGGCAAGCGTATGGGAATGACGCTTGTTATTTCAAACAAAACCCATAAGGTCCCACACCGTCGTATCCTCCAGATCCCCAAACATGGCGGTCAAAAAATCCTCTTCCCCTTGCGAGCGTTGCTGCTGATGTTGTTGCTGGAGCAGGGGCGGAAAGGCTATGCCGTCGGGGCCTCCGATCGGGTACTGTGCAGTCGTGTTGATATGCGGTGGTGGTGGTTGGGGATGTTGCTGGTGCGAAAGTGGATGCTGGTAGGACGGATGCGGGAGTGGCGGGCCGGTGGGGTGGTGTGTGAAAATGCCCTCCGCGGGCGCGTGTACACCCGATGGTGGAAGCATGCGTGGCTGGTTGATGAGAGACGCCGGATAGGTGGCGGGAGTCAGCGCTGAAGATGGCGGCAATGATGAAGAGCTGCTGGTCGCGCTGCTGGTGCTGTTGGCGTGGTGGGGGCCGGGAAGATGCGCGCTATTTGGTAGGGATGACGGCGATGGGCTGCTCCACATGAGTGCCCCACCATTTCCCGCCACCACTCCGGCCAGGGCAGGTTGAAACTGTGCCTGTGCTCCCGCGGCCGAATTCGCAGAGTCCATCCAATTTGTGCGTTCGACGGGACTCGGGGCAGCGGGATCATCGTCATCGTCTCCTCCCGTCGTAGTAGGGGTGTCATTGCCCCACATGTCCCTCGCTCTGCGCGCATTATGCGCCCACGTCGTAAGAGAAGAGTCGATGCCTTTCGCTTCCAAGGTGTCCGCCATCAAGCCCAGACTCGCCAGGAATGCCGGGTGCTGATGGGCCAGCGCGTCCATAAGCGCATGCAGACGATCCATGCGCTGCAATGCCGCGTCGTCGCCCGCGAGAACCTCACACAACAGAGCATCCCAAGCGGTAAAGAACGCAATGGCGGTGCTGGGAAACAAAAAGTGTTTGATCTGGCGTGAGTCGGCCTTTTTGGGAGGTGCGACTCTGCCCCGGCCGCCTGGAAGCTCCATGTCGAGAGTTCGCAGGGACATGCCTGGGAGCTCGTGCGCGTAGTTCAACGTCTGCAGAATTTCTACGAGCGCCGCACTGGACCGCCGACATTCGGCGTCGTATTGACCAACCAACGCCCGTCTGCTGATCAACAATAGAGCGTGCCATGTGGCGTGCAATAACTCGCGCCGTGTCCAAGGCTCCTTGCGCTCTGCGGGTGATCCGTTGCCCGATTCGTTCGTTCCAAGGTCGAGCGCGAGTGAAGGGGGCAAACTGTCGCGCCATTTGTCGAGCTTTGACTGAATCTCCACCACAAGCTCCAGCCCGCCTTCTGCCTTATTGGTTTTGTTTTTCTTCCATATCCCACGGGCAGCATTGACATACTTTAGCACAAAGCCCATGATTTCACATAGCTCGATGTATTTGATAAGGTACTCGAGATCAGCCCGCTCTCCATCCAAGTCAGAAAAGCCCTGGGGAAGTGGAGTATCCCTGATGCATAAATGACGAGTATGAGGCACATGGAGATACGATAATTGAAGAAAAGAAGCCAAAAGCATCGAAAACTTACCAATCGTCATCATGTATCATACATGGTCTCCCCGTCACCATGCTTATGCATCTGTCCATGATGTAAGTACCAAACCATGTCCTCCTCCTGTTCTCTTCTGTTGCAGCAGGGTCATTGTGACGAGCAGGCCGATTGATATGTTGCAGATCGCGATGCAGACCCATCTCCTGCGCGCAGCGGACGCTGAGACCAATCAGTCTCCATTTGCTAGTGATGATGGGTTTGTACGCTTTGGCTCCCATGAGATTGCCTGTGAGAGACAACAAAACGATAGCTTGCGCAATCCACACGTGCGGCGCCTCGTATCCAATCAAGACTTCATGGAGCTTTTCGGCCATGTCATCCACAGCGTCAGGGAGGACTTCAAATTGCTGAACATGCTGAGATGATACAATCAGCATCGCGTATAGCAAAGCACGAAAGGGATGTGAATCCGGCCCTTCTGCAAGTGTCCGAAAGAAAATGGCACGGTCCACGATAGGCAAGTAAGGGTGAATGACCTGGAAGTACGTGGTTGCCAGAAACATAATCTGCTCGTGCGTAAACGGCAGCACCTGTCGGAGTGCCGAGAGATGGTTCGGAGAAGCGGGATCCACGACTTCAGACGGGATCTTGAACGGAAGAGTCAACACGCCATCTTTATATCGTGGCGACTGGATCACAGACCAAGAGGCTATCGACATTGCAAAGCAAGAATTTAGCCTGAGATCAAACAGGAGACAGAGAAGAATAAGATGCGTCTCAGACACTTCCACCTACATCGTCCGTGATACAGAACAAAGCTGCCTCCTGCGTCTGTGACAAGCAGGTTGCCCGTGTTGTCCGTTTTGTGTTTCTTTGCTCCCGGACGGGCATCGTTCGATTCATCTCGGGGCCGTACTGCTCTTGCACGCGGCTTGGAACCAGGGCGCCCTTCGACCTCCATGGAATCTCCACTCGCCGCGTCGTCACCTTCAGATCCCGAAGCCAGCAGTGATTCCATCATCTTCAGCCTGCTCTCAAGGGTTTTGATGGTATTTTTCCTGACGGGACCTCTCCGCTTGGTAGTCTCAGAATAATGGCAATGGAAGCCAAATGCATGGCAACCGGAGCATGGAAGATCACCGGAGCATTTTGTTCGTTTTCTACGACATGTATCGCAAGCTTTTGACGCACGCGTCCGTTTAGGCTGGCCATTGTAGATGTCGACTGAGAAGGAAGACGCTGACTGCAGGTGAGCGGGTGGGTCGCGAGAATCGTCTTGTTTGTGATGCGAGTCTGCCTTGGCGACTGACACGGGTCGAAGCGACGGAGCCGAGCCCGGCCGGACTTGTGGAGAGGAAGAGGGCGAGTGTTGCGACGGCTTTCGCGAAGGAGGGTGGCCCGACGAGCCACTTGACGGCTCTGACGGCGCCGGATAGTGGGTTGACATTTGTGTTTGCAAACGGTGGTCGAGCAATAATGGCTTGGCGTGGGCAAGTAAGGGGTAACGCGGATCGTCGGACCCGCGTGTATAAGACTTTTAAGTGTCAGCCAAGGCCGCTACGCAAAACCTACTCGGATCGGAGTATGGCAAAGTGGGGGGAAGCGAACAAAAGCTGCCTGCGAGTGGCAAGTTCGCGAAAAGCCTTCTTTCGTTTCTTTCTCACGCGTAGGCGAATTTGACAGCCAAGAATGTTCCCAATTTGGAACCTATACGCGGGATTATTGCGACAGTAAAAAGGTATCGATACATGGGATGATGGATGAGGGGATGATGCGTAAAAGATTCTTGATTACATAGGTTCGGCCCGATCGGCTGCGAGAAAAAAGGAATGAATGAATGAAGGAAGGAAGGCCAAAGTCCGCTCGCACTCCCGCGGAAACAAAAGTACCAACAGCCCAACAACATGCGCATGACAAACCCTTTTGTCTAAACAAGAAGATCATCACATCATCATTATTGACAGCAGCAAATGACAAGGTGACACGCGACCCCCAAAAATTGATCGAAATCGCGTGGAAACCTACATTTGGGATCTTCCAAAGTCGCATAACACGAATGAATGCCGTCCAGTTCTTGGCACCACTGCCGTCAGCGTGCACATGTACCTGCAACGATAGCAACCGCCGGCCAGGACATATCATGTAAAAGGAAGGCAGGGATTGTCCGCCCATCACTGCCCACGCTTCAGCGGCAACAAATACCACGGGCCCCTGGTTAATGATCTGATCTCCACAAAAAAGCAATACCTAAACATGAGAGTGCAGAGCGAGGGTCAGTTGTCGCCGCATTGCACCGGTGAGGGAAGTGGTTGAGTCTGGCGACGCTCTACAAACCCGCGCTGTCATATCAAGACCCGTTCCATGAGGAATGCTGTGCGCAGCACGGACGGAACCAATAGCATTTGACAATAGGTTATATATTAATACCAAGTTACATGTCGGAACGCTCGTCTCTTCGATGCACTCGTGGGGAACAACGATTCTGTGATCTACGGCCAACCTGTCGCGGTCGTGTGTATCAGACCCAGGCCACAGAGTAGGCAGAGAAGCCATCGGACTGCACAGCTCGGCCAAACTCCGGTTGACAGGGGCGGCACCAGCAGTAGCATATTGGTTTAGCGATGACCTCGGTGGTTCTATAGTCATGAGCGCAGATTGCATT